TTGTTGCGTTGGCACCATGCTTGTTTTCAAGCCGGTGGTAAATATATATATATATATATATTCCAAGACTCATGTGGAAAGACTGAAGTCATTAGGGGTATACTTCATCCATTATCGCCGAATTCGAGGAGACTTGATTTCTCTGTATCAGATAATGCGGAACCCTGACCATCCATGTCGTTTGCTATTCTCCTTGATGCATAACATTCTTCTTGTGGAGCATTCACTCAAATTAGTGCTCCAAAACTGCTTAGTACAATACCGGTGTCCTTCGTTTGCTCCCAGAGTGTTTAATATTTGGAATCCCCAACCACACGTTTCTACGCCCACAATTGGTTCTTTCAAACAAATGAGATGAATCGTTGTCATGTCTTTAATTTCGACATCTCTAGNCTTTAATTTCGACATCTCTAGTAGCACATAAAATGAAGATTTGTGACCTTCGTCTCTCTCTCTCTCTAGTTATGCAAAAATCCCTATGGGGCAAGAAAGGCAACCGCTTGTTAGTATTTCCCATAATAAAACTTTCACTTGGACTGGTTAGAGTCAACACCTGTTCTCACCTGTCATAAGTGTACATTCGGTCACAAGCAATTGCATTCAAGCCTTGTATCCTATAGTGCAAGCTAATTGCAAGGATTAGGAATATCTGCAGTTCAGAATCTATCAACTAACATACAAGCTATCCAGGTGATTCCTATTTCTGGCTTCAGTTTACATTTTCCCCTATTTCTTCTTGTTTACATTTACTTTGCACTACGGTCTTCAGGGTTTTCAACGTCATCAATAAACTCTTTTTAACATGACCGTTCCGACTCACTTCCTTCATGTACAGTTAGTCTTTGAACAATAAGATTTTTCCCGTTCCACTGCAATTGGGGTTCATCATACATATTTTGGAACGTTTATAAGGAATAGCCTCTAATGTGGTCAAGGAGTTGTATTGTAATACCTACAGGGATAGACTGCGTCCATTCTACTTTTATTTCATTTACTACGACCGAAACGAAAATAAATCTGACTTTAATAGTTGTAATACAGTAGCGGTCTATTTTATGGTTTGTACTGGATTAGCTGATTATGTTTGCGATCAGTCGTTCAGTCAGCTTCTGTCCATGCAATTATTATTCCTAACCGAATCTAATTACTGACACTGGTTTCTCTATTTTGATGCGTTTAACTCAGTGCATTGGTTTTTCCTCGTATTCGTATTTCAGGCTCAGCGGATCCGCGACGAAATAAATACAAACTGTTCCTCGAATGCACGCTTATTTTGACCTCGGTTATTCCACAGGAATTGCCAATTGAGCTGTCACTGGCAGTGAACTCATCTTTGATCGCTCTGTCAAAACTATGTACGTTGCTGTTTTAGCGCCTGCCAATATTACCCCGATATTGTATTGCTCGGTTTCATTTATGACCACATATGAATAATAATGTAGATAACAGGACGTCACACGTAGCTCCTGATTTACTGGCCTCCATGATCTGATTTTGGGGCCGGGGTGTCATTGTACGCGAATCGCAATGCCCTACGTTCCCACTTAGTTATTTGATCCATTTGAACTAACATTTGCACGAAGGTCACTTTCAGATCTCCTAAGATGAATAAAACTTGCTGACGTTTTGTCAACTTTTTTCACATCTGATGGTAGTATCACGCCGAACTTAGCAAAAGTTGTCCGACTATGACTACTCGTTGCCAACGGGTATGCTTCAAAAACCATATAAATCTCGGCACCTGGTTGCATGCTGCGCACTCCTTTCTTAAGTTATATTAAACAAGCCTTCTGTCACAGAAGCTATTAATTTTTTTCTCATTTTTTCGATGATGTTCCCTTATAATTTAGATCGTTCTATGTATACACCAGCACATAATACTTTCCAAATCTATAGTGCACGCAGAAAGTGGTTGCCGTCTCTCACTGAGCTTCTCCTGACGGTAAACTCACTGCGGCTATCTTTGGTAGATGACGCGGTGAATGTGAGAAAATCGAACTGCAGAGAAGAAAACGGTGACAGATGTGAAGTTATCAGATCACAATCCTAGATTTCTTTATTGATTTTCGTCCATTCGCCGAGCATGACAATTTGTTTGGAAAACTTTCATCACCAGCGGAGGCGACATCTTCAGTGCTTCTAAAGCTGCCCTTATCATTTTTTTTCACTGTTTTCTGCATAATCCTTCCGTTTGTTAAAATAATAGAAGTTCATCAATATGCAACATTCCTTGGGTAACTCTCACTCTTACTGAGGACTGAAATGTGCATCGTTCCCAGGAGCGTGATTCGTCGGTGTCTCTGCAACTCATTTCTTAAAGTGTCTACTTGTGAGTAGTGTGAGTTTAAATGCTGTTTTCACAGTTCCAGAAAAACTGCAGCAAATAATACTGAAATAAGCTTCATTGTTAGATTCAAAGCGTTATTCCGTGGACCATACTTGTTATGTGATTAGGTTTAGTAGCTCATCATTTTTGAGAAGTATACCCGAAGTCTACTCTGTTCGTCTGATAGGCTGGGAATTCGTTGATATTTGAGATTGTCTCGTTCGGCGTGTCAACCTGCGGTATTACTCGCACGATGACTACGTATAACTATGAGATTAAAATACCCTTTGTGTTTTATCCCTTCTACTGGAACACATGTTCAATGTGACAACGGTTTTCGGTGTGGATAAACCTGGTCGCTGACATTGTCAAATTACAATATTTCTACGACAAGTGCACTCCAATAAAGTGATCGACTCAAGTACTGCTAGGGCAAATGGGAACTAAGTGTATGCTGCTACACTTCGGACAGTTCTGCGGTACGACACTGAGACATAACTATTACGAAAAGAAGGTAAAGATAGGCTGTCGATGTTTGAACATCACTGTACAGGGTGTATCGCACGATTCTGATAGTCGGGAGCGCAACCGGGCAGGCAGTGCTGAGTTTAGTCCAGAGTGGTTCTGATAAAAGAAAGTAATGGTCAGTCTGCAACCTGAGAGAAGGGTATGGAAATCGTGACCAAGGAGCTCGGTCATACTGGGCGCGTTCGGTTCCCCTGGATCGGGAACTCGGGATCATTGTAATCATTAGTCAGAGACACTAAATTATATGGCGTAGTGCCGTGAACAGTGGTGTTCGTGCATCTTAACGGTTGACTTTAATCTACCGAAGTTCTCCATTTTCTCTTCGATACTGCTTTCAACTTCATTCTTCCTACTTCATCACCCAAGGTGAAGCTAACGGGTAGTAAAGAAAACCGGCGCACAAACTGTATGATTATTGGTTGCTGGTTATACAAACCAAAACTTTGCCGTTCATTTCCTGATAGGGAGTCGAGCCATAAAGGGAGAAAACATTAAGGGTGTTCATCCAAAACGTTTTTTTGATCAGGAACCCATCTGTAAGGCTGTGAGTACACTGCGATGTTATTCTTTCATTTTGCGCCTTACCAATCTATTCCCTCTTTTTCCAGTGGTATATTGTACAGAACCGTTCCGAATCCCGTTTGCGGGGAAGGTGGACATTTGCGCATTTGACAAAACGGGTACATTGACTGAGGACACGGTGGTGGTTGAAGGTGTCACAGGACTCATGTAAGTTTTTACAGGATAACTGCAAATTCCGCAATTTTTTCCTATCATGGTTGTAAAATTACGTGCATGTTTGATACAGTTGGCTATATTACTTTTTTTATACTATCATCTTGTCATTAGCTGCGGTTGAAAAAATATTGGTCTATCTTGTGCTCGCCAGTCTAACACCGAATTTTGTTCCAAGAAGTGTTCCCAAACGATTTCCGGTCAAAAGATCATTGCAAAACAACACGAGCGCCTATTGGAAGCGTCGGAAAACTGCGTTGAATGACGATTACACGTACTATACTTATAGGGCTGCGCGCACACTCATTATTTTCCCCGACTGGAAAATACGAGAGCACCGATGGAGTGAATTGACCAATCGGGTTGTATTCTATCCGTGACGTTGATTCAAACCAAAGCGGTAACACAAAAAAAAAACAGTTTCCCACGGCGGCGATTGGTCCAAATTCGTTTTCCATCGATTCCGAGAAAATTTGCCGGGAAAATTAGATTTCCATTGACAGTAGAAACAGATTTTTCATTTGAATAATTCTTGTCACAGTTTCACGTCATCAATCACCATCACATGTTGACATTGATATGTACACATCGCGTCATTTCGCCTAATCTTGAGTGTCCATGTATACACCTTTTTAAGAGAATTATTTTGTATCCCCTTTCTGTTTCCCTGTGACTATCAGTGATCAGCCGGCGAATAAACTTGTTCCTGTACAACGTTGTCCGTTGTCTACTGTTCAAGTTCTAGCCAGTTGTCATTCACTGATGCATACTACTGGCGGAATTATTGGTGATCCGATGGAGAAAGCTATGCTTGCGGCAAGTGGTTGGGTTTTGAATGCGGATAATAACGTTTTTGGTCGTACCACACCCCGTAGTCCACCTCTGCGAATTTGCCAACGGTAAGCGAGTCACGCATGTTTTTACACTTGATCTTTTACATCACAGGTGATGAGTATTGTCTCCTAATTTCGTGATATCCTCATTCTTGTCTAGTTTCCGATTTAGCAGTGCCTTGCGACGTATGTCTGTTGTGGTCAGTCATCACCTTCCTTCTGGTGTCGAACAAACTTATTTGGTTTGCACCAAGGGTTCACCGGAGGCCATCTTACCCATGCTTTTGGATCCACCACCGGACTATGATGAGGCATATCTGACAATGGCTAGGCGCGGGGCTCGTGTTTTGGCTTTGGCACAGAAATCGTTGGGCACGCTAACCCATCAACAGGTAAATCACAACAGATAAATCCTGCTCTGTCAGATTTGTTCGTTTGTGCATCATCATTAAGTCAAAGTCAAAGTTTTATTACGGGATTAACTTACAAGCTCGTGCTTTTCTTGTCCCCATAGGATATGTACACAGATGAATCGTTACACCGAAAAAGAAGTCACATAGAGTTTCGGGTAGGGGACAATGGAGAATGTAGGCTTCGCTGAATTTGAGTGTGCTTTTGGTGGTGTACGAATGTGAGGTGTGCCAAGGTTTCATCGAGTCTCTGCTTGATGGATTCAATAGTGGGCTCACAAACGACATGAGATGGAAGGGCATTCCAAGAACTGCATACTCTGACTGCAAAAGACTGGAGCCGGCATTCCAGTTGACATTTTGGAATCAGTGGCTTGGAACAGTGTCCCCTTAGGTGTAGATTGTTCGATAACATGGTCAGCGATCGACACATGGTTTGGGCTCTGCGTCGACAGTATGATGCTCAGTTTTGAGTTACATAATCGCGAAACGTTACAAACGCTGGTCCACTCCGTCTGTTATTCATTACACACGTGTGTATAATGAAAACAGTCTAATGTGATCTGTGCTAGCAAGCCTCCTGGTTTGGGTTTTCCTTTCCTTGTGTTTCAATCTTAGTCTGATTACCCGTGACATTTTCCTGCCCAGTATCTGCCTCGGCAAACATCGTGTGCCATGGCAACCTTTTTGATGATATACGTAAAACGTCGCAACCAGCGTGATCCATCGAAGTCAACCGTTTGCTCCAATGTGCCACCGCGATTACCTAAGACTCTGCACATGACCTCGGTATTGTTTGTCTGGTTGTTCCAGCAGAATCGCACAATGCAGCATATACAGCAATACTCGAACTCCGACAACCCATTTCTATCCTGTTGGTGGTGGTCATTCAAACTAAAAAGCTGAAACAATAATTCCAGCACATGCCCCATATGCACAGCGATCTTCAAACACCGACAGCTTGTCGTTATTTTCCTTTATTGATGGCGCAGTTTCTGCTCCGCTTAGCAGCAGAAGTGTCCGAACTGCTTCAACATACGCTGGACATTTTACAGACAACAGGACGACAAACGTGCCAGATATGTCTGAAGTTGACAAATTCTAATCGAATATTCTGTATGCTAGCCGGCAGTTCATCAGTGATACGGACAATGAGTGTGGTATAACTGCCCAAATAGAAAAATTTCTCTACTTTCGCCATGGCTTCCCCGGTCAGAGTAAGGTTGAAAGCTGAACCAACCCAGCCATGTAGCAACATTTGACAGTTTGAAGGTGCAGGCGCATACCAAACATGAGCATTCTAGCCTTCAAGCTATTTGAGGGCACTTGAAACTTCTTTGGTACACTCACCTTGACGTGGTGTTGGTGCTGGTGGCGCGATGGCATGGTGGACCCTATGGTTTGATGTTCGAGCCCCGCTGCCGGCACCCAAATTTGATGTTAGGCAGCTTCGCTGTCGTCCGGTTCAATACTACACCTGACCTAGCGGGGCCTTATGTGGTTCGCCGTTCCCAACCCCGGGGCTTGAGTTACTGGTTCCCATCACCGAACAACAGGTCTTTGTGACCATGGGATCCAAACCGTCTGCTGTTCATTGCACAAGTGCGTCATAAAAATGAACCTCTTCGCGTAGATGAAACGCAGACTTAGGCCCACCTAATTCACGATTATCTGCTTATTAACGGTCCTTTCTCTCCGCGATCTGTGGACGCGTTCGGTATCATGAAACTTTGCTTTTCGGAGGGGTCTACATTCGGTTTACAGAGTTCGACCACAGAACCGCTATTAGATAACCCCGTGCATCAACTTCACTAAGTACCACACATGAAAGCTGCCATCCGAATTACACTGGAAGTAATGAAAAACAAACGTTGACAATAAATGTTCATTTAACGAAACCGTTTGTAGATTTGAGTTCATGTAATAAATATAGTGAATGATGCACGACACTACTAGTTACCAGTTCTTCTGTCAACTCAATATGCAAATCAAATTTTTGTTACTACTTTGTTTATCGGAAATTGAATCTCACGTCTATAAAATGAGTGTTTAGTCCTCATTTACCACAGAAATTTCAATTGTGGTGAACAATTCGGAACAACCAATATCATTGCTACATTGCTTACAACACTGTTGCTCCGCTGATCCCACCGTTCCTCCATCCGGTTCCAGGTTCGTGATTTGACCCGTGAAGAAGTGGAGAAAGATTTGACATTTTGTGGTTTCGTCCTGATTTCGTGCCCGCTTAAACCCGATTCGAAAGACGTGTTGCGTGAATTGCGCGAATCCAGTCATCATGTGGCCATGATAACTGGAGATAATCCGCTGACTGCTTGTCATGTGAGCACGGTGCTGGAACTTGTACGACCAGACACACCGGTACTTGTTTTGACGCCTCCAAATGCTTTGTGTGAGTCAATAACAAACGGTAATAGGCCCAGCTAATTTTGAAATATTTTTCATCTATTGATTTTGTGTGCATTATTATTTTGGTTTTTATATTTCGATTGTGATTGAGAGGAGGCTCTACTATTTAAACCAATCTTTACAAATATAGCGTCCAATAGAGTTCGATTGAAAGTAAACGCTCAGTCGTCCTAGGAGCGGAAACCAGTGGTTCACAGTATGGTTTACACTCTGCGATGACCACTCTAAGGTGGAGTTTATTACAAATTATTTCATTTCTTAAGTTTTGGAATCGACGCATGTTTTCTCTGCCACGCACAGAACAGTAGTATTTTTGTCATGCACACCAGTCCGAACACATTTGTAGGTGATTACTCATCCCGTACACGAGACGCTTTGGAAGGCATCAACGAGTCGATTCTCTCCCTCTCTC